GATCTGACAGTGGGGCAGGGAGGTAGCTTGTAGGTAACATGAATAAAGCTAGGCTAGAAAAATTCAATCCCTGTCTTCCTTGTCAAATCTATCCAGTATACTTCTTTTAGAATCAACTTTATCCAGGCAGTTTTTTGGACATGGAACTGTAGCTCTGTATTGAAAGAATGAAAACAATATATTAAACACTGGATGAGTCATGTTCAATTTGATTTGTCTACATTTTTTCATCATGACTTTATATAGCTTTGGGTACTGATTGATTCATTTACTTCCTGACATGGCCTTTTCTACTTATTATCTTGTTGGTGCATCCAATTCATACAAGCCTTTCAAATGAACTAATTATGCTGCTAAGAATCTCAAGCTTTACATTCAAAGGTTAGTTTTCTGGTGTGGAACCTGGAGCTCTTCAGCTCAAAATCCAGCAGCTCTCCAAAGAATAAAATAGAGCAGGTTGACTTGATTGAAGAAATATGGATCTACTGTACACAACAATTGAAGTGTAGCATCCATATTCCCTCTCATTATCTTCTGTAAATTGTTATTTCTCTACTTTGCTCCATATCCCCAAAAATGTGGAATCAGAATTGGACATGCAAAGACCAGGTCTTAACCAGTAGGTTTATTTAGGTCTCAATTTTTTAATTGGAATACAGACTGATGGCTTCTTTAAGACTATGTTGAGGTCCTGGCACTTGGGTTGTGATTGCCAGAAGATGGAGTATTCAACATTTTTGAAAGGCGATTTAAGATGAACATTGAATCAATTGATACTGAAAGGTTGATAATTGTAAAGGTTTTGAGAGAGTTTGAAGAAGGAACAAGAGACACCAAGCCAGAAGAAGACAATGAGGATACATAGATGGTTGTTCCAGAAAAATGATGAGTTATGTGATTGTTGACAGGTCCAAAAAGGATAAGACTGCCCTAAGCAGTGGTTGCGTTTCATCTCATCTGAAAACTGAAAAGTGTAATAATGCGAAGGGATCAAATTTCATGAAAGTTGTTCAGAAGACAGGATCAGCAGACTACATAGTGCAGATCAGGCCTGTGACCCAACCCTGAAAATTAAGGGCCTCCCATGGGGCCAAATCTGGCCTTGGGTAGACCCAAGGGAATCCAAAAATCACGCACAGCCAACCAGGGCACACCTTGAATGGCTCATAGGTGCAAGGATGTGCTAAAATGCAATGATTTCGACCTATTTTGCCATGATATGTGCATCAAAATTTATTTAGAGGCTATATGAGCCTGCTTGGCTATCAAAAAGGGCTATACTGAGCCTACATTGAAATAAAAAGATGGAAAAGAGTATTGAGCAAAAATACACAGGCACCTGGGAAGTCAGGGGCGCCAGCATGCCCTCAGGGCGTCTGTGACTAGGTTTCAGTGTGACAGGGCGCGGACTGTCAACTTCAAAAATATTGACGGGCAGAGTTGGCTGGGCATGGCTGGATCCGGGCCACAGCCCTAGGGCAGGTTGTAAGATTTGTAAAAAAGTTGTCCAAAATTGTTTAGTAGACAGCCTGGCCACTTCAGTGTTGGTTGTTGCTGCGCCTCATGCAGACCATGAGGTGATTTGGAAAAAAAATGATTTCATCCTTTTTTGAATTGGACAGCACTATTCAGCCCCCACTCCAATAATCCCCGCAGCCCAGTTTTCCTGGGGCTTTACCAAAATTTTTGTATCAACCCAAGCCCCGCCCAGCCAAATTTAACTGCAGCCATAGTCAATCCAGGCTCTACAAGAGCGCAAATGCCTAGGGCTGTGACCCGGTGTGGTGATCACTATCTCTTATATAATCAAAAGAAGATTAAAAATTATGTGGTAAAATCATGTTTTTAGTCAAAGTGATATTTCTTAGTGGTCTTAATGGTCAGCAGAGGTCTTAAATCTGCTTATAAGTCATTTTTTAATTATTATTTCATTCATATATCAATTACATAACTTGATAAGAGCATTTGAAACATCAGAAAAAGCCAATCAACCATAAAAATAGTGAATTAGTAAAATTCAACCAATGAATTGTGATTGAGGATGGTATCAATGAGGAAGGCTATTTATTTTTTATTCAAAAGAATGGAATCTGTTCTGAAAGGAATGAAAGAAGAAGAATAAAAGATTAAAAATTGAAGAAAAAGTCACAAGTATGGGTATAAAGTGTTGGAAAATGGTTTTTGGGGTATTAATAATTGACTTGATGGTTTAAGTAGGTGAGAATATGAAAGAGAATTATAGTATTAATCAGCACAAACTTTAACCATGAGGATTGATAGGGGAAGAGTGGAATTATTGATGAAAGAGAGAAATTTGAGCATGGTAAACAAGGGTACTACAAGATCTATTCATATGTAATGATCTCATTGAGGGATTTAATGGTTTCCAAGAGTTTGATAATAATTTTTGAATTTATTCTTATGATACAGAAGAAATCAATATTAGACGTGAAAAGAGGTGAAAAGGTGTAAAAATTCACAAAAATGAAGGTTTTCAGTTCATTACATACGTCAAAACTTGTCAGAACATGATGGCTGATAGCTCAATCAACACAGAATGTTTCAATTCACAGTGTACAGCCTTCAAGACAATAATAATGGAGGTTTTGTGGAAAAATTATAAGGAATCAAAGAAAATGGTGTGAATTTTGACTTCTGTGCTTGAATACACACATGTAGCAGTGTTTACACAACAAAAAGCTTGTTTTATCAATCTCTACAACTCAATAACTTTTTTATGACACATCAGAAGTAGATTATATTAGGCCAATCACTTATCAGCATCATGAGAGCTACAAGATGAGCCATAGTAATCAAACAGTGGACCACTTTACAAACACATTGTAATTCTAAAAATGGTTTTCAGCTATGAGTATTAGGAAAAAATCACCTGTATTCATCACAAGAAGATCTGTCCATGATTTATAAGCATCATTTTCTCAATTTCACAGCTTAGAGAATCCACTATTGTTACAGTAAGCTTTCAGTAAATTTAACAGTACAGATTGCACAACACAGTAAAATTGTATACAGACACGTGGAGATCCACTATTGAGTTGGTGAATCAGGGTATATCCCATTCTGTATGGTACGCACTGTACATAAAAGGTCTTGCTCCACCATTGCACATGCTTTAAAAAAGCTGCAGACCTCAAACCATCAAGTTCACAATTGGTTTGAGATTGGTCTGGAGAGAAATTTGATAATGGTCACTCTGAAAAGAAAAAAGTTCAACATGTTGAATTCAAAAGCAATCAATTTGAGAATGATCAATTTGAAAACAATTGAGTTGAAAACAATTGATTTGAAAAGACTGCTTTGAAAAAAGAAGAACTTGATACAACTGGTAAACAGCACCAAGATTTGATGGGTACAAAAGGGAAATGAACAGTCATTTTGAGAATCAGGATGGAAAGTTGAAGTTATTTTGGGTATGATGGTTGAGGGAAGAAAATGAGATGTGTAGTCAAACTTTGATTTTTGGGATTGGCAGTGTGATGTGTGGCTTGGTAAAAGTCCAGTAGGTTTGCAGAACTGATTTGGTAGAATTGCAGTAGATTTACTGGACCTCTACAGATTTTTGACCAAATCTGTAGGTACCAATGTGCAATTTGTACACGAGTTAGGATTTTGAGGCTCATGACAGTAAATTTCAGCTACTGTACTGAGGCTGTTTACAGAGACAATAGTGGATGCTTTTACATAATGTCATACATCAGTGATAATTATGTCATAGGATTACACCAGAGGGGTTTTGAGGTTTTTGAGGTTTTTGATTGGTTTTTGAAGGTTGTTTACCATTGTTGAATGTTTGAAAAGATAATACATACTATGGATGGTTGTTTTACGGGCTTTGTTACCCTTTTTTCTCATCTAATTATACCTTTGTTACAGTGTTTTTAACCATTATTAAATTACTATATTTGTACTATGGTCACTTAAAGCTGCCCCTTCAAGTAAGGAGAAATTTGTTTACGTGTAATAAGAGTGTAATTCTTGTTTGGGAATAATACTTACAACAGTATTGCTAGTAATTTACATAATTTGTGATTTCTTTTTCTCTGTTATCACAAGGTGGTCAGCAAGTGCCCTTGTGCTGGTTCATTTGATTACAAGCAACTTGTCCAAATTTATAAAAATGATGTAAAAAAAACCAGACTTGCAACCCCCTATAATTAGGAGGTTTCAAGTTTGGAGTTTTTTGCATATTTTTAAAGATTTGGACAAGTTGGTCATAAAAATAATTTTTGTAAAACAGACATATTTTTAACTTGGGACACCTAAAAAGGTGACCTGCTTTGAAAAAAACATGCATATTTTACAACAATGGGCAAGTTGTTGTAGCATAAAAATACATAAAAACATTCAACTTGAAACCCCCTATTCTTACAGGTAGTTATTTGATGATTTTACACCTTTATTATTGGTACATTGACCAATATGTGCGTGTAAAATACAAAAAAATACTCATCATGGAGCTCCAACAATCAAGAACAAGATGCTTTTTTTGGGATTTTTGCTCTCTTCCTGGTGTCTCAGGCTTTTCTACCTCAATACTTTTCTTTACCGTCTGGAAAAGATTATATTTCTTGCAGTGTCTCAAGAGGATAAAAAGTCAAGGGTCAGGGCATACTTCATATGCTGAGAAGGAAGATGTGGCAAGTTTTTCTGAACACTTGTAGCAATCAAAGATATGCAATGTTGGTAACTCATCCAAATGTTAGATTTGCAAATCTTATGGTGAACACAAGCCTGTCTTGATATTCAAACCCTTGGATGGACAAAAGTCTTTGAAAAGTTGAGCTTTCAACTATGTTGGCTGGGAGGGAAGATGATGACGATGACAACTCACAAGGCAGGCGGAATAATCTTGACGGTAAAAGAAATACTTCAAACTTGGGAATTGTCCTTGTAATTACCTATTGTGGTATGATTTTGAACAAGTAAGCTTAGTAACTTTTGTAGCTATAATACATGAAATGGGTTTGGTAGAACACAGTTTAATTCCTGTCTTCCGTACCAAATCTTGCAAATATTTTTCTGCTAAACTGATCTCGAGGAGGCGTAATTCTCTCATACAGAGCTTTGGATCTATATCGAAAGAAAGATAGCAGTATGTTGAACACCGGATTTCTGAAGGTAAGCGGTTTTTGTCCGCGTAGTACTAAAAATCTATACAAAATTGAATATTGGTTGAGGACTGCTCTTGCATTCACTGCCTTTTCTGATTCATATCTTGCAATCGCATTCACTTCATGAAAACCTTTCAAATGAAGTAATGAAGTTAAAAACTCAAAGCTTTGTACTTGTATTTGACGTTTCTGTTCAAGGACCCCAAGCTCTTCAGCTGCAAATCCAGCTGCTCTCCAAAGAAGAAGATAGAGACGTGTGACTTGATTAAAACGGTATCTATCTATTCTACCAAACAATTGAAGTGCATCTTCCATATTGCCTCTCATTATTTGTCGAAAATCTTCATCTCTCTCAGCTTTTTCCCACCAGCTTGACATTTGGGCATGTGTCTCTGGCGGTATCCTTTTGGTAAGACAAAAGGGAAAGTTACCACCTGGATCTTGTATTTCCATGAAAGCCCATGATTCATCCAGGTGCAATTCTGTAACGATTGTTCATGGATTAGAGAACTAGGCTACATGTCCAAACTTCATAAGATGGAAGCTTACCGGGTTCACTCGAGCCTCTTGACCCAATTTGAGTGGAGTCATTTGTAATTGTCTTGATCCGATTTGATTCTACTGGTTGGTTACGATTCCGAATCCCGACCCTTCCGATGTTTCGGTTGGCAGATTCAGATTCAAATTTTGCAAGATTCGATGTCTTTTGGTGTACAGATGTTGGCCCGGTCAGTCTGAGGATTCTTTCTATGTCTTTGACATTGGGATAATAGGCGCGAGGTGGGATCGCTGAACCCAATACAGGCCTGTGTTTGACTGAAGTCGTGCCACTTTCAAGGGCGCCATTATGTTTGAAAGACTCCGAATTCGAAGGTGATGGGTTGTTTGGATTCTTCGTAGCAGAGATGTCAAAGCTGGAGGGTAGGACTGGGCTTTTGGAGCTGAAATATGGTCGTATATTTGGTCTTTGCAGATTCATAAAGTCATCTTGAATATTTTCCAACATAACAGCCCTTGGAAGATCCCCAGTAGATTTACTCAAGCCTTCACTGGCGTGTGCGGTATTGGAAGATTGTCCCCAAGATTTGAGCCTTTTTTCAGTTGGATTAGGATACGTGTCCAGCAAACGGATCTTCTCCATGTTGAATGTGTCAATGTTGATAGCATTTTTCTCACTTTCTTGTGGTTGACTTGGAAGACTAATTTGTTGTTGCAAGGCCCTAGAAGACTGCGCAAGGTGAAATTTTGAATGATCATCGGGTGTGAGAAAATGTTTCCCGCTTTGCTCATTTGAGACATCAAGATGAGGATCTTTGAACCATTGATCGAAGTCTTGGTTCAAGATGAATTCCATGAAGTCTTGATCTTCGGTATTGGTGTTGTGTGTAGCGGAACCGGAACTCACATGCATATCAAGAATATGACTTTGCATTTGATTCGCGGGGGTGCTGTCTGTCTGCGCTCTCGGAACTGGGTTGTCAATGTAAGGAATGTTATACTTGGAATTCTTAGCCATAGAAAAAGGATTGTTCTGAGATTCGTGCGCGCCATCTTTCCATTGCAGCCGGGCTGGGTTTTTTAGAGGTTGAAGTCTGTTTCCTTCAACAGGCTTGTCATGAAAAGTGTTGAAGTCTGATCTCAGAGTTCCTTCATTACCAAAAGCAGTCAGCTTATCGAAGCCAAATTGATCCTTGGCAGAATAATCATGACCATGCCACTAATCCAAGGACAGACAGTGGTCAGAATCAACTCTCAGCAAGCGTGTTTTGTCAGAAAAATAAGAGGATTAACAGAAAAGGAATTATTTCAAATCACCTGAGACTGAAACTTCTCCCATTGATGCAGATCAGGAATTACACTTGATGATTGAGGGTGATATTGATTAGAATCCTTCATGATATCTTTATTAAAGGTTCCATCGTGGAGATATTCTGCTTGATTCCAAACATTGTTGGGTTCTATATGCACATCATGACAACGCCGTAAGAAGCAAGCAGACAGATGGTTAGTCAAAAAGACTATACGGTGCATAGTGTGATTATTATGTTCTAGGTCATTGAATTTGAGACTTCTCAAACACTGTTGCTCATGGACCAGGAATTAACATACCAGTATTCCAAGAATGACTTGTCTGGTGATTCGCATTTGAGCTCAAACCAGAAACACTATCAGTAATAGTATAGGAGGATTGTAAGATGTTCAAGTTTTCCAAAGAATCATAAGTATTCCATTCAGGATCTTCCATGTATACCATATGATTAAAGATATCTGAAGACATTGATGGATCTTCAATATGAAAGTGTGGTATAAAGCCACATGTGATCATCTTTGGATCTAGAAAAAGGCTAATGGTATATAAAACCAACAAATATAGATATAAGTTCATCTTATCTATTCTGAAGCGTTATTAAAATGCAATAAATGAGAGTTGGTTGTCAATCGCAAGAAAGAGGCTTGGAACAGGAAGGGGGAAAGGACTTCCAAAGGGTTTTAAGTATGTCTCAAACATCACATCCTTGCAGTACATCGAATAGTGATTCAGATCTGTTTCAAATGAATCTCTTTACCAAAAAAAACAATAGGAGACCAGATTCACGACCAAGTATGATCTGATCAGTTTCACTGGGCCGTGAAGTCTAAGGCCAGAAACATAGTGGGGAACTTTCATTTGCAAGAAAGTTATGCGTCAAAAAGTGCTGATAGACTTGAACAAAACTTTTCTGTGATTGTTATCTTGAAAGTCTGGTCATCCTGACTTGAAACTGCTTTCTTCACATCCCCATTTGTGTTTGAACTTCATCACAGCCTTGATTGCTGTTTCTGAGCAAAAAAAATCATGTTTCTAATGTTTTTTTTCTTGAAACACACACCTTCTGCTATTTGGGCGCGTCCCCACCAATGGATTCTGCGCCTGGGTGCGCCTCTGTTGGTCAAATTCGCGCACACCACCTGAAACTCCAGGTTTTTGTACCAAAAGATCTTCACATCTCCAAGAAACCCTTCTCCGATAAGTCAACTCATAACTTTTCAACTCAAGTATCATTACACAAGAAATTCCCAATTAAAAATTGAATCAAAATTACTCACTAAGAAGAAGAAAAAATCTTGTTCCATACTCATACAAAAAAAATTACTGACTGTATCCAACAACAACATCAAATAATTGTACAAAACAAAACCACTACAAAAATCCCATTAAAGTAAGTAAAGATAAATTATATATATATAGTACAATATTATTATTATTGTTTGAAAAAAAACTTTTCAAATCTTTAAACCATTAAACCATTTTGAAATCCAAAGTCCAGAAAATTTCATTTTCTTTAAAATCTTCCAATGATATGATTGATGAAGATTTTGATCCCAACTCCAATTCAAAAACTCATCAAAATGACATACTACGAATCTTATTAATCCTTGAAAACTTTCTCTGATCCCCTTCATCATCATCTTCATCAATGTGGTTTGTATTCAAAGCTTGAGTATCAAAACAAGATTTCAAATCTTCCTTTAAATCCGATTCCAAAGACCCATGACCTTCAAGCTGATCCGATTCTTCGAGCTTCAGATCCGGCGCATCAGGTCTCATAAATCCAGAATCCAAAATCACACCTCTTCTAGGATCAAAGACCGTTCGTTTAGGTCCTTTAAACGTATAACCTACAAACGCGTGTGATTTTCGTGTCTCTAAAAGTTGGGCTCCATGAGTTTTATCTCCAAGTAATGGATCTCTTGTTTGGACATCATTTCCTTCATTCACTTTCAATCCCGGTACTTCTAATGGATGATCATCTATATCTTCTTCAAAATATCTTGTATCTGTTTCATCTGAAATCTCTGGAACAAAAGGTGGTGTTTGAAGATGAATTGTATCAAAATCAATATCTACAAAAAAACAACCCATGATCAGATCATCAATCGAATCAGTTCTCCATTGACAAGAAGAAACCAATTAGAAAAGGCACCGGTGAGCAAATGATGTGAAACCAAAACTCAACTTGAAAACCAAGGATGAGCTCTAATCTGATTTGCACCATCTTTCATAGCCGAACTAGGACCCGAAAAAGTTTGAGTAGAAATCCCATCCTGAAACTTTTTCGAAACCGAATTATAAAATGAAGTAGGACGAGAAGAATGAAGTGAAGAAGAGATTGGAATCCCACGTGATCCTAATCGATCAGCTCGATCACAAATCAAACTTTGAATGAAATCTTTAGCTTGATTTGATACATCAGGTTCGTTTGGGAATTGTAATGTGCTTCTCCATTGAATGATTTTCGTTCGGGTGATTTGACGTGATCTGGCCATAAAAGGTGCATAACCAAATAACATCTCGAATAAGATCACTCCTAAACTCAAAAGAACAAATCGGTTTCAGAAACTCATGGAGAGTAAATATTGATGAGGGATGGAATCAATTCTTTTGATCTTACCCATACTCCACCAATCGCATGCTTCATCATATCCAGTTGATTTTAAAACTTCAGGTGCCATGCTAACATGAATTTAAAAGACAACAGATCAGACTCATTGAACAACTCAAGTCAAGAGAATCGACTCACTAATTATTAGTGCCTACAACAGAGAATGCCAATTTCTTACGATTCCGATCTCGGATCGTCAAGACTCGATCAGAATAAGAAGTAGGAAATTCAGTCTGATTCAAATCAGATTCATTTCTCAAGATATCTCTAACAAAATAAGCTTGATCATGTTTTCGTATCTCTGGTAATCCATCTTCTAAATCAATTCCATGTTTATGAAGCAATACTAATCGTTGATGATCATAATAAGCTCCATCATGAGCCCTAGAAGAGGAGACGACGAAGATGGGTGAGTGATCTTAACTGAAATATTCTTTTCATGAAGAAGAAAAGAAAACCGTACCAATGAAAATCCGTAGCTAAACCAAAATCAGTAATCTTTAAATGACCATCCCTATCAAACAAAAAATTATCAGGTTTAATATCTCGATGAATAAAGCCTAATCTATGAGCTTCTTCAATAGCAAGGATCATTTCAGCAATATAAAACTTTGACATCTCTTCCGAAAACTTATCTTTTTCAATCAATAAATTTAACATATCACCTCCAATCATATATTCCATCACAAGATACAAATGATCTAAATCTTGAAATGAATAGATCAATCTAACGATCCATTTAGAAGAAGATGAAGCCAAAGACATCAAATCTCTTTCAGCTCTCACATGTCCTTCTTGTCCTTTCCTTAACATATCCGATTTTTTTAATTGTTTCATGGCTAATAATTCTCCTGTATGTTTTTCTTTCACTAATGATACCACTCCAAAGGCTCCATGTCCAATCGTCTTTAACTTGATAAAACTATTCATTCCTACTCGAGATCTGATCTCTCTTAAATAATTCGTTTCACTCAAAACCCATGCCATTCGTATATTGTTCTGTTCTGCTGAAGTTAAATTCAATCGATGGATTTCATTTTCCAATAACTCTTTTCTTTGATCTCGATCACGTGGTCTTTTCAAAATCGAATCTACCAAAGAGCAGTATCCCATCAATCCAACTGATCCCTCTCCCAAAATCATCATCATCTTGATGCGATCTGAAATTCACTTACAGTAATGTTGTTCAAAGAACACTTTAGCCGCTACTGCTTTCTCAACAGTTTGAAGACTAGGAATAAAACTCCTGGTACCAGTCTCTTCAATCGCTTCATCCTCCGGAACGTTTTTCAAACCAGAAGGAGAAGAAGGTCTACTCTCTGATCCTGATCTTCCAATCGGTTCTGAAAAATCCATCAATGGTCTACTCCGATCAGGATGAACAATCATAGTTCTTTGAGCCTCATCATCATCCAATTCTTCATCCTTTAAAATCCTATCAAGTTGAATGGGTTGTGTAAGAGGTGATCCTAAAGCTTCTAAAATATTGCTTTTAATACTTGATTGACTATCTGAAGTAGGCATCCCATTCACGACCTTTAAACTACCTTTCTTTAATCCTGCTTCTTCCATCTGTGAAAAAATCTCGCCAATCCCTCTGGCTTGTGCTTCGGCGGCTTTTTGTCTCGAGATCACTTTAATAGGTGTCACCCAACCTGGTTCTATTTTAACGAAAGAAAATCCAAATCAGAAAACTTCAATTCAACTTTCTGTTTTATATAACTGTTTTTTTGGGGGAGTTTCATAAATTCAAATATATATTGATAGATGTAGATGGCCTTCATTACCTGGTAATTTTCCTACCTGTTCTGTTTTCCATCTTTGTAAAATTTCTTCTGCTTGTTCAACATCACTTGCATGACAAATATGTCTATAATTTCAGGTTGTAAAAAACCGCATGTTCCAAAAAAAAAACACGTTAAATATGGGACACAGAAACAAGAGGAAGCAGAAAAGGATCCAAACCTCATCATTTCAGGTTTACCAATCATTTCAATCCTAATCCGATTCGATTCTTTTGTATTCAAATTATTCTGATTAAGGTTCTTCACCAATTTAAACCCATTACCAAAACTAGACCCGATTCTTGAAAATGTACTTGACGAATTATTTGACAAACTTGGTGATTTGGTTGCTTGGTGTGATAAATGTTTTGGATTTGAATTTAATGAATCTAATGGCTACAGTAAGAGGAAAACCCAAACAAGAAGAACCGCAAAAATGAATACATGGTTTCGGAAATCAAGTGATGTTTGTTTGATTTCGGATTTGCTTTGTTTTGTTTGAGCAGTGGAAATTAAACTTACATTTAAATGATTCCAATTATTTTCTTTAAACTTATTCAATACATTAAACTCATGAGTTTTTCTAGAAAGTGATCCTTTAGTATACCCCAAAAGATCAAAAAACCCTTGATGTAAAAACAAAGAGTTTCCCATTCCTTTAACCGTTCGATTCCTACTACTACTAGTATGATCAAGACCCACTTCATTCGGTTTTCCAGAATTTGTAAGATGGTTCGTAAGAAAGTTTCCAGATTGAGATCTTAATGAAATTCCACCAAACCTCCAACCATGGTTTGATGTGGTTGGACTACTAGGATTGGGCATTGGATTAGGAGCGATTCTAGGTGATGTGAATTGTGATACATCTAATGTTCTTTGAAACCGTTTAGTTAAGTTTATATTCGGATCTTCAACTTCGATTCTTCTAATCGATAATTTCTTTTGTTCGTTTGTTTCTTTGAGTGTTAGTTGATCATTTGAAGTGTTTGTTGGCATTGGCATGGGTCTTGGTCCAGATGGATGTAAGTTTGGTGAAATCATGTTTTGATTTCCTCGAGTGATTTATCAAATCGAATCGTCGTAAACTTTGGTGATAGTACTCTTATAAGCTGATGAACCATTCAAGCTCAGTTGGTTGAAATGGTTTCTTGAATTGATCATTTTAAAAATGTAATGCCAAAGTAGTGGAACTAAGTGGTATGCGCATAATCAAAACACCTTCAACGCTTCTCAGTCACAGTCGACTCAATGACATCATCAATCGTTTCATTTACACTCAATTCATCAACACTTTGATTGCTCAGCACTCTATACTATCATCATCCTCCATCTTATCAGACTCATGCACCTCTAAGATATTGTTTTGTCTTTGGATTCAATCCAACACAGCTCAACGGATCAGATTTGAAAAATGATGGATTGCAGATTCAATGTGAAAATCAGACTTGCCTTTGGTGCTTGACCAAGCTTATATGTATTTCTTCAGATCCTTGCCTTTCCATTTCATCAATGAACTTGTCTACATTAAAGATAGATTTGACGTCGATTTCAGTCGGATCAGCAACTATTTCTTGGGACTGGCAATTTGCTTTAGTGCCAGTCTGGTTCCTGGTTCAATACCATGTTTCTTTTTACAATCAATCACAACCCAAGCTTTTTGTGGGCCTGTTTCTAGGTTTAGATACTGGCTTGGAAGGAGTTGGAGCCATGAAAGTAGAGTAATCAAATGAGTTTTCTTCAGTTTGGTTTGTAAGATGGTGGCAATCAACATAGATGACCATCAAAGAGCAGAGTGGTCAAGAAGTCTCAAAGCTGAACTGGCATCATTTGTCTGATCAGCTTGGGTTTCCTGTTCTAGCCATAGAAGGCCATAAACTACAACATTTGAGATTTGTGCTCATCAAAAAGATGATCCAAATGTTGGCAAATTTACAAAACCAGACTCACTTTTTTGATTACAAAAGTCTCAATCTCCAACTTGACCTCCGTCATAGTCAACCCCAAATCTCCCGAAATTATTTTCAATTTTATATTGATTATATTACACTTTAAACATATTCCTATATACTTCAAAATCAATCCTTCTTTAATCACTAATACTTATCTATATACTTAAAAACTATCACTTCATCTTAACATGATTCCATTAACAAAAAAAGAAAAAAATCACCAAAGAAGACATTTTTTTGTTTCAAAATAAAAGAAATTATAAAACATCTAATTATAAACGAGAATTGAAAAATAAAATCTTTGCCATAGATTCATGATAAAGTAATATGCATCAACTTATTCCGTTCCAAAAAAAAGCATGCAAAACCAAAAAAATGAACAAATCCAAAAAAAAAACAAATCCATATCCAATCTAGTAGATTATAATTTGCCTCATTACACTAAGAAGTAGTAGTAGTAGTAGAAGCAGAAGCAGAAGAAGGCCAATCCCAAACTTGACATAACCATTCAACCAAATCAGGTGTCCAAGTTCTTGATTTAATGATCCAAGGATGTTGGTTTAAAAGTAATTTAGGTATCGGTCTAGCATTCGGATCTTGATCCAAACTACAAAAAGACCATCATCAAAACCTTCTCAAGACCCAACTAAAAAAAGAAGAGAAAGAAATCAAGAAGGAGCTTACCAAGTCTTACAAAAATGTTGAAAAGATTTAGTCCATTGGATTCCCAATTCGATTTCTTCATCCAAAGAAGGCATTTGAAAGGTCAAGACAGTTTGAACTAAATCAAACGGATGCATAGGAGTTTGATCATCATTTGACGAAAGTGGAAATCGATTTAAAGCTAATTCTAATAAACTTAAACCTAATGACCAAACATCTGAAGTAATCGAATGAGGTTTTCCTCTAATCCTTTCAGGCTATAAAAAACGTACGCCCAAAAAAAAGATAACATCAAGAAACCTTGATCATCAAAAAAATGAATAAGAAAAAGAAGTGGTTTTGAATCAAAACTTACAGCCATGTAAGCCGAAGTGCCCATAAAAGTTCCAGCAAGTGACCCAATCAATTCACCCGATACACCTAAATCACATATCTTAATCTCTCCATTCTTAGTGACCAATATATTCGAAGGTTTAATATCTCGATGAATAATCTTTTTCATATGTAAATAATTTAAGCCAGATAGAACTGATTCAGCTACTTTTCCTAAAATCTTTTCTCCTATTCTACCTTGACGTGATTTGATTTGTTTGTAAATCGAATCTAATGATCCTCCTTCACAAAATTCTAATAAGATTGCAATTTGAGTATCATTCTGTTTGTTGATTGTTTTTTCGAAAAGAAACAAAAATCATGATGTTTTTGGGGGGTAAAAAAAAGGTTTGGATATTTATAAATTGAGAGAAATGTTCTTTTCTTGGATTGATTGATTGAAAAAATCACTTACTTCTTCTAAAAATGCTCCATAATATTTAACAATCCAAGGTGTTTCGCCATTTGCAACTTCTCTATTAAATGCTAATTCTCTCAAGATTTGTTTATGAACTAATGGATTCGGAGAAGTAGGAATCGCCTTGATCCAAGCAAAAAAAAAATCACCCAAAAATCAATTTCCAATACCTAACATAAAAGAACAAGTTTGATAGAGATTTTGTTTTCTTTCCCTCTATTTGGGTTTTTGCTGCTTACCTTTTTAGCCATATAAAGTCCAGAAGGTCTATGTAACACCTTTTTAACTTCTCCGCCAGCTCCTTCACCTAAACTATTTAAGACTTCTAAATCTTTCGGATCGAATTCGATTTGTAAAAAGTCTTCATCTTCTCCACTTCCACTCTCTTTCTGGTTCACTTGATCATCTACTCCACCACCCTCTTCTTCTTCTCCGTTCCGTTGACGAGATTCTGAAGAAACAGATCGAGTAGGCGTCTCTGATAATCTTTGTCTTCTAACCGTAAAAGAAGTACTACTACCCGATCTAGATCGATTCTGTCCATTTCCAAATCCTAAAGGAGAAGAAAGTCCAAATTCGTTCAGATTGTTCACTCCTAAATGATGACTTCCTCCGATCCCATTCATAGCAGCTTGAATATCTTCAATGATCCGATTCGGATCTGTAATCCTTCCTCCATTCTCATCATCTAAATCTATGCTAGTCGTATTAGTTGTAGGATATAAAGATTCACGTGATGTTTCGGGTGAATAGTGAGTAGGTTGTAATGCAAATGAAGAGGATGGGGTGGTTCCGGTTGAAAGAGTAAGTGATCCATTTGATTTATGTGTTCGATATGAACTAACTGAATTGTTTCGATGATGTCCAATAGATGGTGCTGGGATTGGAGGTGGATTATAGATTGATGTGATCGTTAAAGGTGGTCTTTTTGAAATCGGTTTGTTGATGGTTGATGGAAGTGAATCTGATAAAGAGTTTAATGAATCTAATGTTGATGAATTGGTAGATGATGAAGTTGTAGTAGTAGATGAAGTTGAAGTTGTAGTCGAAGTTAGATTAGAATTCAGATTAGGTAGAACTAGTGATGGTTTTGGCATCGTTGAGAATGATTTTGTTGAGAATGATTTGTTGAGAAATGAAAGGGTTTGAAGTCAAAGTGGATGGTCTGCTCAACTTGGTGAGTCGTTAAATTTGAAATTAGAGCATCGCTTTAGTACATAAGGTTGTTATGATACCACCACTCACACTACACTTTACAAATCACAGGAAACTGGGTAGTCTGACTGTCTTACTACAAATGCTCTGATACATAGCATCAACAAGGAAGAAAATGAGCATGGCATGCTGTGATTTTCAAAGAAACAAAGCCCTCTCTCAAAGCCTTCTTAGCAAGGAAAAGACTTTGTTAGCTTTACACTGAAATCCTTAATTAACAGATACAATTAGGGACGATGTCTCAATTCAAGTCAACAAAGCTAATTGATCAACACAATCAATACTCAAGTTCTATACGGCATATTGCTTACCAAAGACTAGTGGTGCTGAGTCCTTGAAGATTTTTTAGTGTTTGATAGTTTGTGATCTATTATGTGGATGATCATATTTAAATACCAAAAGTTGAAATTGAATACTATCAAGTGTATCTTATACACCACAGGATTGATTCACCGTGGGTCGTTCGGTGAATTATTTTAAATAGGTGGTCCACGGTGTTCACTTGGGATCAGCCAAGTCGTTGATTCACCGCAGTCCTTGATGCGGTGAAGTCAATGTAGGTGTCCCATGGGTTTCACATAGAGAACTTATGGCTGTTCACCATGATCGATTCATGAGTGTTCACCATGAGCAGTTTACGATGAAACACCGTGATCACCTACATGAAACCACCGTGATCAAGTCATGATGATCACTCGGTGATTGTTCATATGAATTCACCCTAAGCGATTCATGAGAATCGTTCATGGATTCTTCAGGTATATCATGATTTTTTCACGGAAACCTACCGTAAAAAATCAAGATGAGTACACAGGAATTGCTCATGGATACTCATCGGTGATGATCTGCATGGCGGCTCATCATGAAAAATTCTCGGAAATCCAATGTGGAATTTAAGGAATTCTCACGATGACTCCTCAAACCAGCTTTCCGAAGATCTCTTGGAATTTTTCTGAAATAACACCATCATTTTCACAATTTCAGTAATATGGATAATGCGATATTCTTTTGACTGATAAAAATACAATATATTCATAGCATACAAAATAAGATGATGAAATGAAGAAGACATGCTAGCTAAGATGTACAAGTGCTTCAAATATTCTATATATCATGTTTACTTTTGATTTTGTGATATGAGCTTGATTTATTCACCGAGGATTTGAATGACTTCAGCGCGGGTGGGAGGGGCAAAATTCTCATTGGTGGGATAGTCGGCATACTTTGTTTTTCCAGTAAAGAGGGTTGCATCACGACGGAGTAACTCTTTAAAGAAACTGCGAGTTGTATGGGCATCAATATGCTGATACCTTTGAATGTAGAAAGATTGGCTGTGCTTACGCAGTCTCATATTTGACATTCTTTTGCGCTTTATTCTCATCTCTGATCTCCTTCAAGATGCGATCAATGTGGAACCATTGTGACTGCTTGGCTGGGTGTGAAAGTTTGTATGAATTTAAAGTTTGCATTCGCTGGAAAGATGGTATTGAAGAGTCGGTTTCTAATCTTGTATCTTTGGATGATTAACAAACCCAATTACTTACAAGCAATATGATTCGGATCTTGATTTCAGGTTTGAGAACCTTCCCTATCTCTAGTTCGGTTGAAGCTTTTGATTTCTCAACACAGTAGTTATGTACCTGATTCAAAGACAGAGTCAGAGTGAATGAAAACGTCATGAAACAGAAATCCAAGTACCTTGAGGTGTATTGTGTTAATCTCAGGAACTGGGATTGTGGGTGCAACATTAACCCTTGGTAGCACACCAATCATGAGCTAAAAACAGCATACAAGAAAGACATTTTTAGTGGCGATTTAATTCACTTGAAGAGAAGAAGATGATCCTATTCACTTCACATACCTTGATTCGTAATTCAGCCTTTGCATTTTTCATTGCATGGTTTTGCATGTGTGTCTTCACAGTTGAGGTAACACCCGAGCCACTTGTAGTTCCAAATCCTTCTGGGAAGTGGGAACGCTTAAAAGAATCGGTTTGTGCCATGATCGCCTCCTACATAGAACATAATCATGATCAGACTTAGATGGATTAAGGAATTGAGGAGGTGAAGAAAAATGATAAGAGTAAAGCTTCACCCAGATGAGTCGGTCAAAAGAATCTTCAATGGGATCTGCATTCACTGAATCACTGTATGATGTGATTTTTGCACTGAGAAGGGTCTCTCAAGTGATTGCGTTGAGCCAATCCTATAACAAAAAAGGATTAGATAATGACATATTAGAAAATAAATGATTACTTGCCACATATGTAGCGCTTGGCTCCCATGACAACTTTTGTCGTTTATTTACAGTGGATTCATCTAAGTTTGACGGTCTAGACCGCACAGCTTGAAGTATGGATGTTGAAAGACAAATATAATTTTCATACTGGTTCTCTGGAGTTGATTTCTAAAGAAATCGATCAAGGAGTCAAAAGATGAATCAGAGATGATAATCCCATAGCAAGGAGATGGAGGATGAACTTACGCTGATGATTCTTGATGCCAAGTTACGATACTCTTCAGTCATACCTAACAGATCAGCAGTTTCATTGAATGTAGATGAAGTCAAGAAAGAATGATCACTTTGAATAGGACTTGCACGCCCTTGAGGAGAGGAAGGTCCAAAAAGTGCAGATGCGTCAAAAAGACCGGCCTGAGCTAAAGCATTGGGATCTATACTACTGTCACTGGAATCCGCCATTTGGTTTGATAATCGAAAGGAGAAGATGGTGATGCTGTTGACCGTCGAAGTGATCGATGGTGAGGGGGTGAGATGATCCTAAATCGATGTCTTTGTACCCACTTGTGACATTCAAAGTTCACAGGTGGGTGTGACATGTGTGATCATCTTTCGAACACCATCTTGTGAATTACACATTTATTCAAACTCTTTACGCCACACTGTGCATTCAGATGAATGTTATCATTTATTCTTGACTTCTAGAATCAATCTGTTCTTTGGTTTTTGATTCTGCGCAGAAAATCAATATTTGATTGCTTATATTGCTTGAAGACTTTACATCTAAAGTTCATTATGTGTCCTTCAGCATTGGAAATCTTATATGCTCATATGTGATATATTGTTTGTTTCAATCAAAAATTTCTGTAAATATGATCAACTCCCAACAGCCATTTCCTTTGTGAGATGTGGACTTTCAAATCCTCTTGATTTTCTTGAAGTTGTGAATTTTTGAATCTCTAATTTTTTGAATTTTTTTATTTTTGGATGTTCTCAAATCACATTGATGGCTGTGTTTTATTTCCCAACTTGGGATAGCACTTTAAGAGAAATTCTTTTAATTAAACCTTTTTCATTGAAACACAATTTACACCTAACCTGTAGAAAACAAACTACTCAAAGCCTCAAGTCTATCTTTATCAACTTGAGCCTTTTGCTGAGCTTTCTCTTCCTTCTTCCTAGCATTCTCTTCTTTTTTTTTAGACTTCTCTTCTTTCTTTGCTGCTTTCTCTTCCTCCTTTTTAAGCTTTGTCTTCTCCTTTTCCTCTGCTTGATTTGCTTTTTTTTCTTTGTTAACAACCCATTCATTCATACCTGATTCAATTGCAAGATCCCACTCTTCAGGGGTAACATCAGAACTTGGGATGTTTGCAGCACGAAGGTGAATATCTGATGAGTATAAGGAAGCCGAGTTTATGATGTAGGAGGTGTTCTCAGTATGTTGGATCTCTTCAGTGAGCTTGATGGTCAGCCGTCGTTCAACTGTCCTCTGCTTTGTGAGTTTAACTTGGCATCCGTGATCATGACAGTTATGCTGAACATTTATCAGGCACTCAATAGCCTGAAGGCAGCATCAATCAAAGCTAATACGTATGATTCTATGAAAGAGAACATACCTTCAATTTTATCCAAACTTTTTTCCGGCTTTTACAAATCTCACGCATCATATAGAATGGATGGATTTCGGGAACACTTTGACACAATGTCAGCTCAACCACACAATCATCATCTGTTGCGACTGGGCTCCAAATTGATTCAATAATGCCAATAGATTTTAAAGCCTCTTTTTCCTTTTCTAGCATCTTTTTTCAGTAAGAGAGAGATTTAGAAATATCAGCCAAAAGGATATCTTCAATGAGGTATCTTAAAAAACGGCTAGAATGAATTACCCAAACAAATGAACCGTGCTTCAAATTTTGACCATTCGGCATCCTTACATTGATAACCTTCTTCCACTCAGCCCTAGAGTTGAGCTGCACTAGATGTTCCGGCACATCAAGATCCACAGACGTGTCGGAAACTTCAAAAAGAGTTCAATACCATCAGTTAAAGAATGCAGATCTACTTCCACACATCTAACATAAGAAAACATACACTTGATATCATAGTGATTTTCTTTGGTAATTGGAAGTTTCAAACCCATAGTTTGTCGTACAGTGGAGTTAGCTTTAAATAAGCCAATTACTCCTGATCCGGCATGAGCATTACAGCATAGGTTTTCGTCATAAAATATTCCACCTGATAAGAGAGTACGAAGTAAACGGTATGTAGTAAAGGTGATTGCGATGTCATATCCTGGACTTTGTTTATTAGAATGGATTGAGCATCCACGGAGTACCCCATTGTATTGTTCAAACTTCTCTGTTGCAAACAAACAGGCTGGACCAAAGCGCTCCATGGAGTCGGTGAGATGGATCAGCATATGGAACTTTGGTTTATTCACCCATTGTGCATTATCTTGAATTGCATCCCGTAGAAACTGATTGATCAAGATCCGGATTTGATTTAAGTGAGCTTTTTCGTCGGTGTAACTGTTTTGGAATATGTAAGCTGAGAGATGACAGAGGGAAATCCACATCTTTCGTCTTTCTGGAGTGAGATAAGGAAAAAATACAAAAGGAGCCGCTTGTAAGGCTGTCCGAAAACCAGAACCCGCAAGACCACCAACATACTTGACCATTTGATCTGCCTGAATAGGTGGAACATTTAATCCATCAACATTAAACGAAGCCCATCTTCCTTTCATTTCTGAGAGAAGACCAGCTGGAGTTTTTGCTACTGCATCCTTTGTCATATACTTTACTATCCCCAATAGTACAACATGAAGTATCTCTACTGACGTATCCTTGTGACCATCAAAACCTGGAATAAACATGATCAAAAACTATTTATCAAAAGCAAAGAATAGATGACGTACCTTTCAGCCGTAGGAAAGGATTGTACAAGCGCTCACCAAGTTCTTCATTCTGCTTCACCCACTGATCTCTTGCTTCTTTCATTTTACCACTATATCGGAGGTCATGAAGTGAATCAAGAAATACTTGAGTGATCTTATCCCGCACTCCATTTTCTTTTGATAGGTCATCAATTTTTTTCTTTTGTCCGTGTGTTGCAGCCATCAGCCATATTTGTTTTGTGATACTAATTGTTGATGACCATTGACGATCTTGAAGATCCTATGAAATCAAAAAAATACAAATTTAGTTTCAGATCTCCTCTCCAAATAAAACACCTATGAGAGGAACCATCTAAGCGTACAAAGACTCCATTGATTGTACTCAATCCCACAAAATTCGAAATATACTTTTTCGAAAGCTTCTCGTCTTGCGCGGACACACCCAGAGTACACATTCGACATGGATGAAGTGCCATTGATGGGTTCATAGTATTTGTGATCTCGGCGTGCATAGGCGAGTCGCCAAGGTAGCACATTACAACAACCATCACATGGACCGTTTTATCAATCGACTGATCATAGGTTGAGAATCCAATCTCGCCGAGTTTACTGATCATACAAATTTCAATATTTAAACATGTAAACATTGTATCAGTCAAAGATTTCTTGATTGATGTAAAAGAAATGGACCTTACCCGAGTTCATCCACAACCTGCTCACCCAGCTCAAGTACAGCTGCTGAGTTAGTGGTAGCGTGAAAATGTATATTGTATTCTTGGTTTGTCAAACTTGGTGGAAGACCAGACAGTGTGAAATAGAAAGAGTCGTGTTTGTTCCACTTTTTTGATTGATTGCCTGAAGTATCATCCGAGTAGAGTGTAATTGGAACATGTCTAATAAGTAATCCATTAGCCTTTGTCCGCCAAGGATTTGGAAGGGATATCTCCTTCCAAAATAGCCGATCTTTCTCTGTTTGAATAAAAAAAATCTAATCAACAAAAATGGAGAGTCTCATAAATGTAGTTGAGCTTACGATATATTTTCTCACCACAAATGTCTTTTAGCATACACCCATCTTTAGTCACCAGATTAGTATATTCAACTCTGAACTCCTTTATATTAATGTCCTCCAGATGTTCAGAGTCAAAATTTGGTTCAGCTTCAATCTCAAGCCGATAGGTTGTGTTTTGATTTTGAGATACGGTACCCAACCTCATGCACTTTGCAAATGTATCGGATGTTGTCTTGTAAAAGTATATAGGAACTAATATATCCTGTGAGGCTAGCTGTACTGGCTCATAGATAAAGAATTGACCGGAAGATGTTTGAACCATTTGAACCCGAAGATCTCTGGAGAATCCTTCGCGCCACTTTCTGGACTGTGAAAATCTGTTGATGACAGTTCCAGGCTCGTATTCAGGGATGAATTGTAAATGAGGACAGACTTCAGGATTTGCTAATTCCTATAAACACAAAATAAGAGAACATGTGAGTAAAATCCAGTCCAGACCTTGATAGCTTGATAAGAATAACTTCCCTGTGACACAGTTTCTTGAATAGAGAGACCAAAACACGGATTTCCCAGAGCAGAGGTATTTTCAACAACATTTATTTTCAAGCGATTCTTTAGTCCTTCACGGACACCTCGTAAAACACTCCATGCCGGTAGTTTGACAGAAGCAACTACCAGAATTGCTCGCAAAATATCATATTGTAAGCGAGATAGTAAGTTTCTCATCGATCCCAACAAAAGCAATGCCAGAAAGTGCTGAAGTTCAGGCCACAAACATATTCAATTAGGCATCAAGAGTGTGTTTAAACTATATATCATGGAACATTACGTACCTCTTTCTTTTTGAAAGGGTACCACTCTGCTTTCTCATTTTCGGCCAGAAATTTCCCCTCTTTGATCATCTGTAGCTCTTCCTCATTTTCTGGTTCAACTTGCTCCATTCTCTCTTCCTCTCCCTGATCCAACTCTTCAAATTGTCGAATTCCTTTTTCTAGAAGATCCTCAATATCTACCTTGGTTGGTCCGTCTCCTCGATACACCCAATCAAAATTCTTCAGAGCAAAGTAATCACGATACTCACTAGACCAAGGCTCTGGAGGGGCGACTTCTGATTCTATGTCTGAAGGAGAAGTATTGTCGGAGTTATCTGAGCTATATAATTCATCATAACATACAACTTTGGGCTCCTCATTGTCCATTGTTTGTACACCAAGCATGACATCTTCTTGTCCGGTCACATCAGCTGTTGAAGTTGATTCTTGTCCTATCATTCTTTCTTCAGCAAGAATAATTTCAACATTGTCTTTGTGCACTTTTGATTTTCGATGCCTGTCATAAGTCTTCATTGTTCGACCAGAGCTACAGGCAGTACACCAATAGGTAGGTCCATCGGGACCTAAAGAAGTAACTTCAAAGTCTAAAATGCCGCCGAGTATGAGTTTTTGATAGGATCTCAAATTGTCTACAGTGCTTTTGGTAGGTATTTAGCAACTTACATTTTTCATGAATCGTTCCAACTGCGTTCTCTGAAAGGTTCATTTTTGATCAAATTACTTTTTGATAGGTGGCTTAAGAGCACACAGATGAAGTCGAATGCAAATTTGCTGAATGTGGAAAACCGACTTTGTTAAGCTTAACAAATTATCACTTGAAACTTTGAGAATAAGATGATTTGACTCAAATGTTGATTGTAGAAATTATCTCACACTCATTTGTTGCTTTTCATAAAGTTTGACAGTTTTTTGAGACAGCTCTTTGAGACTTTGTACACTCATAGAAAATTTCACACTCTGAGACTCAACGCAAAGACAACACTGAGGCGTGAGGGTATAAAAGAAAATCATAATCAAACAATACAAAGGCCGCTGGATTTACAAAAGGAGTTAAGCGTAAAGAGTAGATTTAAAAAGGTGAAAGGAAGAACAACATCCTCTGATACAAAGAATTTCCTAAGCGTACAGAAGTACTAAAGGAAAAACTCATGGCAGCAAAGATAGGTATAGAAATTCAAGACTACTATGAAGAATTTCCTAAGCGTACGGAAGTACTAAAGGAAAAACTCATGGCAGCAAAGATAGTAATAGAAATTCAAGACTACTATGAAGAATTTCCTAAGCGTACAGAAGTACTAAAGGAAAAACCCATGGCAGCAAAGATGAATAACATGGCTTACTGAAAGGAAAGCTAGAGAGCGTAGTATGAAATAGACAGTGAGAAAGCTGAACTGGGATTTTGAGGTAAATGCCATGCTCTTTTGCAAAGGGAGGACGGACTTGATGAAGGGAGGATTATATAGCAAAATTGCAGGGGCTGAATCAAACAAAAATTATCTATACTTGCGGCGCTTCCCCTAATTTGTTTCAAAAGCACAGGGTTTTTTACCAGATTGGATGGATAGTTTCATTTGAGTGTTTGACTGACACATCGGGTAATCTCACCTTGGCTGTGTAACCAATTCGGTCAGCCTGGCGTTTAGAAATGCCCTGGGATCAAAGCAAAGGCACCCTTTGTTGAATATACTGCCACGGCGAAGCATTGTTCCAAATAAACCAAGGTTTTTTTTCACCAGATTGGCTGAATCAACCCCTCTTTCGAGCATTTCTCTTGATTCCTTGTTATTCTCAACTTGATGGCATAATTAATTCGATTACTCTACTTTTTTAGAAATGCCTTGTGATCGAGGGAAAGGCACTCTTTGTTAAAAATATGCCACAGTGAGTGGCTCACAATTGCATGATACACGACCGAATGCTCAAAGACTGAACCAATGTCGAAAATTCTCGGCTCATATCAAAAATGAGTGCTTCCATGGTTAAACCATGAAATACCCATGGCAAGTATCGGAATCGTTACGACAATTCTTTGGGATTCCAAACTCCGTTGGAATCCTGGCTGGTTCATGGCTATTACTCAGCTTGAAAATCTCGCACCAAAACAAGGATCGATCACGAGATTTTCTCGTGAGTGGGTCCCAAGATGTCTTTACCAAGCTTTCACGTGGTATTGCTGTGAAATCTCTTTAGACATCACGCTGAACGGACTTCGGTAGGTTCGCGTGTTTTGAACCGATGATCGAACACCGACTTCTCCAGATCCCAATCACACCCACTCTCCCCTCAGAATCGATCCTGTGGTGTATGTTGTTGCAGGAATAATCAATCTTGATTTTTGTTTTGGTAAATTTGGATATTCTTTCCATTCATGAATTATTGAATGAGTAATAAGGAATATATCAATCAAGCTCAAAAAAGAAAAAGAAAACAATTTGAAGTTGAACAAAGCTCAGGTTTCAACTTGAAAAAGTACAGCCCTTTGCATGATTGATGACTTTGGAGAAAACAAAACCTTGAGTTTTCAACAAAAAAACCCCTAAGTTTTTTCAAAAAGTGATCAAGTTTTTTCAAAAACTTACTGAGTTTTTCAAAAACTCATCAACTTTTGAAAATTTCACAAAAAACTCATTGACTTTCTCAAAGACTTGGTCACTTTTTGATAAAAATCAAGGTTTTTTTTCTTCAAAGTCATCAATAGGGGCTCTCAAACCTGACCCGGTTTTCAAAAACCCAGTTGACCCAGTTGACTTTCTTGGCAGTAACTTTGTAATATAAATTTACAAGCTTGGTGCTC